ACTGTTGATCATACTACTTGGAGATTGATCGATAAAAATCGAGGTCTCGAGCGCACACGGGACGCTGCAGCGCACGCAAGCGCCAGGTCGTATTCCGAAAAGCGACGACGACAGATCGATCGAGGAAAATCGAGGACCAGAGCGCACACGGGACGCTGTAGCGCGCGCATTAGTCAGGTCGGATTCCGAGGAGCGACGACGAGAGCAGTCGCGAAACACTGCTGATCATGCTACCTGTCGATCGATCGGGGAAATTCGAGGACCCGAGCGCGCACGGGACACATACTGCAAACATACTGCTGACCATGCTACGTGGAGATCGATCGAGGAAAATCGAGGACCGTAGCGCACACGGGACGCTGTAGCGCGCGCAATAGTCAGGTCGGATTCCGAGGAGCGACGACGAGAGCAGTCGCGAAACACTGCTGATCATGCTACCTGGAGATCGATCGAGGAAAATAGAGGACTCGAGCGTTTACGGCACGGAGCAGCTCATAGGATCACTAGGAACAGCCCTATCACTAGGACACAGGAGCAAAGGACCAGCACAGTGCATCATCGGAACACAAGACTTCAGCAAAGATTTCGGGAACAACAAATTCAGGAAATGGCTGACGAGCGACTTCTCACATACAGGACGAGTTCACAAAATCGACAGGCGGAATCTTCAAGACAGTCACAGCGCAATATTGCTGCAAAAGCACATCTTTCGGAGGATGAACGAGAGGATTAACGGGAACGCCAGCGACGGAGGAGTCGAGCTACGGCAAGGGAACAATATCTTCGTAACATTAAGGACGGACCAACTAAGTTTTGTACGTGCTGTGGAGGAACGTGGCTTCCATCTCAGGTAAGTGGTTTGAACATACGTACTATTTCTTCTAAATACCCCAACTTTAGTCTAGACAATGCCTTTTATTTAAGTAGAAAGTTTCCAAATCCGTCCGGTAAATATCAATTTTGCAGTACATGTCTTTAAGGCGTTTCCAAAGGTAGGATACCATCCCTTTGTCTCTCTAATGGCTTCGACTTTCCTTAACTTTGCCTTAAAAACTTGACATGTCTTGAGGAGCGCCTTATTTCTCCTCGAATTCCCTTTATGCGCATTATATCCCTTTGATATGAAAGGCAATGCGGAATAAGAGGCGCTGTAGTCAATGTTCCAATTTCAGTACCTGATACGGTAACCGTACTCCCGCGCACCTTTGATTCGACCCATGTAATCAGGGTTCATTTAAAAAGAAAGTTAGAATATTCCCATAATCTCATGACGGAAACTATTCGACCCGCTCAGGTTATTCAAGCTGTGCGATACTTGGTTAACACTGAGCTCTACAGAAAGCACAACATTTCCTTTGACGGTGATTGGCTCAATCAAATGGGAGCCGAAGAAGAGATACCTTTCATCGCAGATGAATCTGACCGAGAAGTTGAAGAAGAGCTTCTTCGTCAACATTCTCATTCTCAATCAAATGACGAGCAAGAAGGTGATTTAAATCCCGGAGGTCATGAAACCCTATTATAAAACGATGATATTGGACTTCAGCGTATTGCTATGGCCCCCGAAGAAGGCCGCATTCCAACAAACTTAACCCTTGACGACGACGCAGAAGAACTTTCCTTCCCAACTATTTCTTGCGGCGAAATGTTTAAGGGAAATTCGACCTATGCAAAAAAGCAAGATCGTAAATTCGCTTTTACGACCGTCGTTGCGCAGTAGTGCCCAAAGGCCTTTAGATGTACAAATTTTATGAAATGCAACGAATTCAAAGTTCTATTTCCATTGCCCTAAAAAAAAATCAGGTGCAGTAACTGCTGCAAATGTGAGGGATAATTCATTTGTTGACAGTCTTGTACAACATGACGATGGATTTCATATTCTAAAAGGCCTCCGTTCATCTCCAGCATACTGGGAGGCAGAAAAAAGAAAGTTATAGCCATTATTAGACAATTTGGGTTGCCTACATTCTTCATAACCCTCTCTGCTGCTGAATCTAAATGGAACGAACTCTTAGTTATTTTATCTCTTTTATTGGATATCAGAGACATTCCTGAGGAAGAGGCAGCAGCTCTTTCTAACGCCGAAAAAGCTAGATTAATTAGGTCTGACCCAGTAACGTGCTCCCGGTACTTCGACTACAGGTTCCGGTAATTAATGAAATTATTTAAAAGCTCCGAGATATTTGGTGAGTTAAGACTCGTCCATTATTATTGGAGGATCGAGTTCCAGCACAGAGGATCGCCGCACTCTCATGGCATGTATTGGTTTTCTGGTGCCCCAAAGCTAGAAAGACCCGATAACGCCGAAGAGGTTACCCACTTTATTGATCGTTACCACCAGCGGGGACGATCCTGAAATTCATGAAGTAATTCAATATCAGCGCCACAAGCACAGCGCTTCATGTTTAAGGGAACTGCGAGGACAACAATTCTGCCGTTTTAATATGCCATACCCACCAATGTCTGAAACTCTGGGTTTGTATCCATTTGAAGAAAACGAATCCAACGTTGAAAAATATAAAAAATATTTAAACAAGTTAAAGAGCTCCTAAAGTCTGTTTCCGAAGAAGAATCGGCCATGTTTAATAATTTTGAATATTTTTTCAGCCATCTTGAAATTTCATATGAGGAGTACAAGTTCGCCATTCGGTCATGCTTAAACAAGCCCCAAGTATTTCTTCGTCACCAATTTTCTGATAGGTTGCTAAATGCTTATAAAAGAAATATTTTAGGCTTGCATAGAGCAAACATGGATATTCAATTCATTCTAGATGCTTACGCCTGATGTAGTTATATAATTAACTACATAAATAAATCCAACCGTGGCGTGTCGCAACTGCTTCGAGAAGCAATGACAGAAATAAGCCATGGAAGTGTTTCCGTTAAAAGAAAATTACAGCATTCAGGGAGCAAGTTTATTAAGGTTACAGAAATATCTTCCCAAGAAGCTGCATACAACCTTTTAGGCTTACACTTGTCTGAGGCTAGTGAAGGGAATATTTTATTAACACTTTCCATCCAGATAAAAGGGTCCGGATAGTCCGATCTAACAGAGAATTTGAACAGCTTCCCGCAAACTCAACAGATATTTTTGAGCGAAATTTACTTGATCGATACGTGATGAACAACTATAATCGTTGTCTTGCGGAATTTGCGGCTTGGTTCAAATTCTCCAAGTTAAATGCACGGTCAGAACAGTCAAACGAAGAATATGACGAACCAATCGACTTGATGCAGATGAAGAAAATAACGTTGCTGCACAAAGTTACCAAATGCTGGATGGGACTGGTAGGGTAAAAAGACGTAATCATGCCCTAATTCTTAGGTGGGTTCGCTTCAATTAAAGCTCTTCTCCATCAGATTATTTTAGAGAGCACGTAATGCTCTTTTTCCCATGGAGAAGTGAAGAGACGGAACTCATTTCAAACGACAATGAAAGCACGTTTAGAAATAATTTTGAAATTATTAAACGCAATAAAGAGCAGTATGATGTGTTTGACGACATGGAGTTAGAGAGAGTTCTTTAAGATCTGCAAAATGTGGATAGAGAAGAAAACGGCCCCCTTCCCGAAGGGCCAGCCTATCAATACCTTGATGAAGAGTTCAGGGCTTTGGCAGTACCCGACGTCGGCCAAAACGTAAATGTACTCCAAGATGAAAATGATTCAAATGGCGAACTTCCTCTTATAAGACTTCCTCCGATGGTATCTGACAATAACCCTTGCTCGCTTACCCGGTCTCTCAACTTTAAGCAACGCCAGTATTACGCCCACGTAATTCATAATGTTGCAGCCAAAAAAATATTTTATGAATATGTTGGTGGAGGGGCCGGAGTGGGGAAAAAGCAGATTGATTTCTACAATATTTCAGTCTATAACTTGGCGAGCAAATAAACTTCCTGGGGCAACAGATTCCGCAAAGGTTTTACTTTGTGCTTCTACTGGAAAAGACGCTTTTGGGATTGGGGGACTAACTCTTCATTCAGTTGTCTCCCTTCCTGTTAATCAAACATCTGGTCCTTTAAGACCCTTAAGCAATGACACTTTAAATACAATGCATTGCAAGTTGATTGATATCCAATTAATTATTATAGATGAGATCTCGATGGTCGGATCAAAAATGCTTGGGGGCAAGTCTATAATAGTGTTTGGTGATCTGAAGGAGCTTAGCCCAGTTGGAGATCGTTGGATATTCGCAGAAAATACATCTTGTTTGTGCCTAACCGAAGTAGACACTTCCGGGTCACACCGCGGGACAAGGGGGTAATGAGCACTTGTCGCTGGCACGGGGACGCTTTGCTAGCAGGACGATCGCGTCGCGGCAACGGTAACGATGGTTACTGCGATGCCGGACCACAGGCGATGCGGAACTGCGCTGAGGTAGAGCTAACGTGGTTAGCTGCTAGTTGAGATAGTGTATTACGAGCCCTATTCCCGGAGGTGGAAAGTAGAGCCGCTGAGTTACGAGGTGTGTTGATAACTGATTTATTCTTCATTTGATACCTGCTTATATACTACTTGGAACACGGAAGCTTAGTGTAATGATTAGTGAAATAAGCTATATTCTAAAGAAGGTCAGGGAATTATGATTATGGTGCAGTTGGCTCAGCTAAACTGCAACATGTGCTGACTGCATTGGTGCGTCAGTGTGCCGTTGAGTCTGAGAGACGGTGAGTCGGTGAGACGGTGAGTTAGTGAGACATATAATATGCTGATCAGCAATTCTCATATGCAGTGGGTTCTACTGAACGCCTGGTACTGACAGTACAACATGTGCTGACTGCATTGGCGGGTCAGTGATCCGTTGAGTCGGTGAGTTAGTCTACAGTGAGTGCTACTGAGCGCCTGGTACTGTTCCCAACTTGGCTACTGCTTGATTTGTTGGGTGTGGTCATGTTGAGTACTTTTGGGTATGAACATTCTCCCCCCCATTGAGGGGTACCCTCAATTAAGTCGTGATGTCGGTCAGCCTTTGACCGAATTGTATAGGAAGCACCTAACAAATCATTGACGAAGGTGGATCGTTCCTTCGACTGCGGTTCATGTTTGTGATTCAGGTCCTTCACATGTTCTTGATGCTGCTTAACACTCCCCTTTGCGATAAAATTGACATTATCGTGGGGACTAAAATTGTGCCCTCGTAGAACTTGATCTATGGTATGTGGACGTTCTGCAACAAAACTAAGATATTTCTTGGTTAAGTTTAGAAATGTTGAACCAAAGTCAGCCTTCTTGTAGGTTTTAAATTGATGAGAAGTCGGTTCTATATTCATCGGACTTTTATCTTTCGTTGGCTCATAAGCAGCGTTCGGTCTTGCAAAATCACCTCTGCCTTCTACTAGAGTAGGGTTGATTTCCGTATCAGATGAGGCTTCTTTATTGAGATAACCTGTGATTACATAACCAAGCCTAGTGCCTTGTGCCAAAGGTTTATTAGGTCCTAGTTCAAGAAGTTCACCGGTTATTACACGAGAATATACCTCAACCCCTAAGGTTAGGTCAATGGGTCCAGGTTGCCGAAAGTCAGGATCTGCTAACGGCAGTCCCTCGGGAATATTAAGATCGGTTGTAATCGGTACTGACGGTTGGTCTGTAATGACTGTGGGCATAATAAATACCTCTAATAGTTTTTCAAACCCTGATGTACGTGATGAGAGCTTTAGTGTTGACCTAATTGCTGTTGATATCTTTCCTCCGATTCCAGATATTTCAATCGGTGACCTTTCCTTAAGAGATAGCAGATCTGCCATTCTCCTTGAGATAAAACGGAGAGAGCAGAGGAGGAGTGGAGCGGAGAAAGCGAACGCCCCCCGCCCGCGTGCGAGTGAATCAGTACCGTAGCATAACGGTAAAACCCCGAACCCAAGAAACAGAACCCAACCCAAAGTTATGAACCGCACCAGAAGGAAGGTGGTGCGCCCAAAGAATCCCTATACCACAGCAAACTTCTTCTCACAATGGAGCTTCTGGTGGATGCGAGATCTTTTCAAACGGGGCCTCCAGGGTCCGCTGACGGACGAGGAGCTGTATCAGCACAGAAAGACCTTGGATAGTGAAAGGGTGACCAATAAATTTGCAGAGCTGTGGGACGATGAACTGAAGCGAAGTAATCCCAGCGTGGTGAGGATGATCCTCCGAGCATACGGCAAGATTTTCCTCCCCATGGGTCTGGCCTTCTCCATAAGCGAAACAATTTGCAAATCTCTCATGCCCCTATTCCTGGGTGGTCTGGTCGGTTACTTTGCCACAAATCAGACGGATATCAGTGAGCGGACAGCGTATCTGTTCGCCATGGGAATTGTGATTTGCATGCTAGTGCCTGTGATAACATTCCACCCCTTCATCTTCTACATCTTCCAAGTGGGCACCAAGCTGCGTCTGGCCCTCTCGGGACTCATCTATCGCAAGGTACTGCAGGTGTCCAAAAGCAGTAGTAACGATGGTCTCCGAGGTAGAGCCATAAATATTCTGTCCAATGATCTTGGGCGCTTCGATGTGGCGTTATGTTTCCTGCACGATACGTGGAAGGGACCGATGGAGTCCATCCTGATTGGCTTCCTCATGTACCGGGAAATTGGAATATCGGCTGTGATAGGCGTGTCTTTCATGCTCAGCTTTATCCCTCTGCAAGCGTGGGCAGCCAAGAAAGCGGCCTACTATCGCCAAATGACGGCGGAGCGAACGGATATGCGAGTAAAGCTTATGAACGAGATTATCCAGGGCATCCAAGTGATCAAGATGTATGCGTGGGAGAAGAGTTTTGCCCGGGTCATTGCAGAGGTGCGACTCAAGGAGGTGAAGGCTATCCGGGGCACTGCCTACATTCATGCTGCCCTCGGTTGCACCTCCATGATATCGCCGCTGTCTGTGTTCCTGGCCCTGTGCTCGTACGTTTACCTGGGTGATCCCCTGACCGCCCAAAAGGTGTACACGGTGTCATCCTATTTCAACATGCTCAACGATTCGATGGTTACGTTTTGGCCCATGTCCATTACCTTTATTGCCGAGGCCCTGGTTTCGGCGAAGCGATGCAAGGAATTCCTGCTGGACGGGGACAGAGCAGAGGTTCCCATAAACCTGGAAGCCAATCAGCAAACCGTCAAAAATAAGCGTAAAGTCTCCAAGAAGGACAAACAGAAGAACGTTGAGCTGAATGGCTCGCTGTTGTCCAATGGCCAAGTGCAGCACAACCGCCTGAGGGATTACGATCCGCAGTTTTTAACCTTATGAACTGTAGACAAACAATTTGTGCATGCTCCTACTTGAATAATGGATTGACGCCGTGCTTTGGGGTCCATTTGCTGGATACGGCTACATGCTCTAAGATTATGTTGTCCTAGGTGACAAATCTTACAGCTCTCTTCGTTGTGAACTGACTGATGGCGGAGTGTTGCTGTAGGTTGAGCGCTTATCGTCTCCAGCATGCAAGCGCGCCGCTCAATAAACGTCAGTACACTCCATAACGTTGGAATTTCCGTTGGTGCATCCGCTGAATTTTCTAGAGCAGCTAGAGACTGCTGGTCTAGTTTTCTTCTGATAAGAAAACACAGGATTGGATCCCAGGATTTTGTGGTGACACAACTCATTGAGTTTTTGATAGAGTCATGTAAGGCCCTTAGTTGGCGCGAGGAGCCGTCTATAGGCGAATACTAATATTTTTCCGTTCTGGTACCTGGCCTTTAAACGCAACCAGGTGTCGTCATAGCCACCCTGTGAGAAGGCTGTGTCTGTCAAGACGTTTCTCGCTTCACCACGAAGCGAACTCTGTAGAATATGTAGTTTTTGACTGGCCGAATATGGTTTGTTATGTACCAATTCCACAAAGAGATCATGGAACCGTGGCCAGTCTAGATACTCGCCGTTGAACTCCGGAATGCTAATTGGCGGAAGTGCCAAGTTTAGGCTCTTTGGCGCGTCGTTTTCTCGTAGCAGGTTCATTTCGTATTCCTCGTATAATGTGTGGAATTGGGCTAGCTCTGCTTCTGCCAGAGCTGCGGCCCCAGGTGTGCTATCCAGTTCGCCGTGGGCTTGCCTCAGTAACGCCCAATGGAGATCCAGGTGCCTTTGTAGGGCTGGGGTGACAGTTGGGGCGTTCGAGGCTAATGTTAATGATGACTCCAATTCATTGCATCTTCTCTGCAACTGTCGGATCACATTGTCACTTGCGGAATCTCCTTTGACTTGATCTCTTGATCTCTCCAACATCAAGGTCGACGTTCGTCTCGGGGCCTTCGGAAGCCCGCTTCCAGTCGGCATGTTGTCCAGAAAGATATTCTGATATTTTTCGACCAGCTCCTTAAGTGCTACTAATCGTGAAGAGTACTCACTTCCAGTGGGTAATGCAGCTTGCTGGACTTCTTCATCTAGGTCGCAAAACTGCTGCCAGAGATCGTTTAACTGATTTAGCTTACCGGAATAATAGCCGTCTCGGTGGCGTCGGTCGGCAGAATCCTTGCCATAATTCTTAATGAGCTGTTGGATTTTCCCTTGCAGCTCGTTTTGGGTGTCTAGTAATCGATTGTGTAAATCAATTCTTGTGTGACTTGTTTCCTTAATGAATGAAGTAGACATATTGTGTGTCTTGGAAACAAAGAATCTTGTGAAGCTGGATGAAGCTGAGTATCCTGTGAAGCTGGATGAAGCTGAGTATCCTGTGAAGCTGGATTAAGCTGAAGTTCCTGTGACGCTGGAAGAAGAAGCGTATCCTGTGAAGCTGGATGAAACTGAAGTTTCTGTGCCGCTGGAAGAAGAAGCGAATCCTGTGAAGCTGGACTAAACTGAAGTTTCTGTGACGCTGGAAGAAGAAGCGTATCCTGTGAAGCTGGATTAAGCTGAGTTTCTGTGACGCTGGAAGAAGAAGCGTATCCTGTGAAGCTGGATTAAGCTGAAGTTCCTGTGACGCTGGAAGAAGAAGCGGATCCTGTGAAGCTGGATTAAGCTGAAGTTCCTGTGACGCTGGAAGAAGAAGCGAATCCTGTGAAGCTGGATGAAGCTGAAGTTCCTGTGACGCTGGAAGAAGAAGCGTATCCTGTGAAGCTGGATAAAGCTGTGAGTCCTGCAGTGGGAAGGGGGTTGCTTGAGTGTGATCCTTTGTTGTTAAAGAGTCACGTCGGGGTCACCAATGTTTGTGCCTAACCGAAGTAGACACTTCCGGGTCACACCGCGGGACAAGGGGGTAATGAGCACTTGTCGCTGGCACGGGGACGCTTTGCTAGCAGGACGATCGCGTCGCGGCAACGGTAACGATGGTTACTGCGATGCCGGACCACAGGCGATGCGGAACTGCGCTGAGGTAGAGCTAACGTGGTTAGCTGCTAGTTGAGATAGTGTATTACGAGCCCTATTCCCGGAGGTGGAAAGTAGAGCCGCGGAGTTACGAGGTGTGTTGATAACTGATTTATTCTTCATTTGATACCTGCTTATATACTACTTGGAACACGGAAGCTTAGTGTAATGATTAGTGAAATAAGCTATATTCTAAAGTAGGTCAGGGAATTATGATTATGGTGCAGTTGGCTCAGCTAAACTGCAACATGTGCTGACTGCATTGGTGCGTCAGTGAGCCGTTGAGTCGGTGAGTTAGTCTACAGTGAGTGCTACTGAGCGCCTGGTACTGTTCCCAACTTGGCTACTGCTTGATTTGTTGGGTGTGGTCATGTTGAGTACCTTTGGGTATGAACTCATCTAATCCCTATAATATTCTGGCAGGAGCTAACCTTTGGAATAACTCGAAGTTTTTCGAGCTAACGAAATTAATGCGGCAACGTGACGACCACGCTTTTGCTTTGGCTTTGAATAATATGTCTGAAGCCAACATGACAGATGTAGATATTGAGCTTTTCAGGACAAGAGTTCGTCCAGTAACCGCTGTTCCTGACGACGCAATTCACTTATTCTGTTCTAATGCTGACGTAAGCCATTACAACTCCTTAAAACTTGCCCAAATTAGAACTGAAGAATTTGTGTCAACTGCAGTAGATACAGTTAAATCAGCTAATATGTCTGAAAGAAGTCGAGAATCAACTGCAGCAGTGCAACTAGCGCATCGGGTCTTTTCCTTTTAGGAGATTAGATTTGGAGCTACAAATGTCCAAGTAGAACTTGAACGTTTAAGAGGGGAAAAGGCTTTGACTACGCATTATGAATTTTTGGTCAATGAAAATGAGGATATCTCTTTATATTACCACAACGTGTAATCTCTTCGCCCTCATCGCAAAGATGTTGCCAACGACAACATTATTTATTCTGCCAACTTTTTATGTTTTGTTGAAACCTGGTCTCTTCCACAAGAAGACTACACTTTAAATGATTTCGACATTATAAGAAGAACCGTTTGATTTATATTGTATTGGGAAGAGCGGAATACTTATTTATACTAAACAAAACAGTTCGCAAAATATATTATTTCTGTTTGAGACAAAGAAGTCCACAAACAACGTATCAATCGATTGCATTTAAATACCTTGAAACGTTATTTATAATTGTTTATAGAGGTCCCGGATTTCCTATTGCAAGATTTCGAAATGAAATTAAAGCTGATGTGGAAAAAGTGCGTAGAATGGATAATACTAAAGTTGTAATATTAGGAGATTTTAATACTTGCAGATCCACAGGGACTGATTTCCTGGAGGAACATTTGAATGCCTTGTTACGTGGGCATATTAGTGCCCGAGTCCTGACAAGGACTCGGGCCGAGGGAGAGGCGTCCGATATTCTGGCACCATTTGCCGGCATAAGCTACGTCGTATTCGGGTCGTGGAATCTTGGTAAGCCTCTCTCCTCTCCAACATAACGAGAATAAATATTAAAAGTGCCTGAAAAATAATATAAGTCATCAAGTTCGTCAGTCTTCAGTCCACACTGCCCAACAAGCTTAGCTGTCGCTTGATCGCAATACGATCGGGCTGTGTCTTGGCCATATTCCATCCCCTCCACACATTCGTGTGCCAATGGATCGTCGCGGGCCGCGCAATACGATCCCCTATTGTCAAGGTTGTCCGTCGAAAGTTATGTCATCGTTCTTGACCTACTCCACTTCTTGCGTCAGCAAACCCTCTTTGTTAGAGTTCTAGCACACCATGGATTCCAATTCTTTTTCACATTATAAATTTATTAGGTAATATATATCTGCGTCTGTTGATTAATCTAATTTTATTGACAATTATTCTGCCAGCGGAGAGTATCGAATTTATCACCTATGAAGGTGCACACATCAGCAAAATACTGATTATTCACGACTACAAACGTCGCTCAGAGGGCTCTTGCAATTATTATATAACTACAAGTCTATAAAACTGTAGGATACTGCACGAATATTTATATATGTATGTTTGTAAGAAAGGAACCGTGTCCCGACAAACCTACCCCCTCTTTAAATCCTGGGCGATGAGATCTCGACGCTCCGGATCCTGGGCTTTGGGAAAATTTTGTATTGGATATATATATATATATATACGTGAACCAAAATACGGCTGTTCTTAGAGGCATGCGACTTCTTCAACGGCTGGTGGAGAGTCGTCCTCTCTAATTGTTTATCATGATTCGCACTTTGTCTATTGATTCGGTTGGTTTAAATATATTTCAATGCATGTTTGAATGCTTGATTTTCACTTGTTATCCAATTGTATTATTTGAGGATATTATGCATGAGTTCACTTTAGCTTTGTTTGGCTCGATTCACACATTTATATTGCATCACTACTTTCTCCGACGTATGCTATTGGACGCTACGCTCTGAACGGATGGTTCCTACAGCTGAAGAAATTTCAGGAGCATGGAGATCACGGATACTGCGTCCACAAACATCGCAGTATGTCGGATGTCGTCCTTATTGTTGATCTTGTCCACGTTCTTTGATGACAGTAGCGGCGCTGGTTCGACACAAGATTATTTCGAGCTGCAATTGTGTTCTTCTCAAGGACTGTTGGATATTGTGGCTGGTCCTGGTGGCAGAAGACTCCATGGACGACTGCCACCATAATGTTCGCTTCATCAATAGACCAAAAAGCCGTTTCGACAAATCAAAGTTCGTCAACCTTGTGTTTGTTGAACTAAAGCCATCTCCAACCAACAAGGAAATCCACGAAGTTAAGGAAATCCACGAAGTTAAGACTCTATGTCGCCAGCGTGTTCAAGTGGAGTTACCGTACAAAAAGGATGATGTCGTACAATGCCATCGTTGCCAGGACTTCCACCTTACAAAAAACAACTGCTTTCTGGATCATAACTGT